GAGACATGGGGGATGTGGCGACATGAGGGGGATATGGGGGATGTCGTGGAAGGCACAGGATTGGGAATTATGTGGGTGGGCATAGGGGACATGGAGGGGGGCTGTGGGAGACATCAGGACATGACAAGACATGGGGACATCCTGGTCTGGGGCCACATCACCCTGGGGACACCTTGGGGACATGGTGGGAGCATGGGAACATGCTGGTTGTCACCCTGGGGGGACCTTGGGGACACCCCAGGAAGGGGGACAAGGGGGTGACATCCTGGGGAGATCCTGAGCATGGAGACTTGGAGGGCACCCCCCCTGGGGACATCCACTGTGGGGAAAGGGGACACAAAGCCTGGGGGCATGCAGACAGCCCTCCAGGGACCCCCTAATGGGACAGGGAGCCAGTGTCACCACAGGGGAAGGGGCACAGGGGACATCCAGGATGGGAGGCCCCTGGGGGATGGGTGGACACAAGGACATCAGGAGGTGCACAAGGACGCTGCGGGAGGACAAGGCCATGTGCTGGGGGGAAGGCAAGGACATGGTGAGGCTGGAACAGTGTGGAGGGGGGGCCTTTGTGTAGGGGTGGTCCCAGGGGCCTCCAGGGAGTCTTTAGGGGGGCCCCAGGGTGGTTTTGGGTGGTCCCAGGGGCTTCTCAGCAGATATTTGCACATCTCGGTGGATTTGGGGGATCCAGAGAAGGGTGAGGGACCCCAGGGAGGATCCTGGGGTGGATTTGGGGGCATCTAATGGGGGTTGGAGGGTCCTGGGGGGGGCGGCATTCCCAGGCACTCTGGGGTGTACGAGGGTGGATTTAGGGGGCCTGGAGGGGGTTTGAGGGTTCCAGAGAGTGTTTGTGGGGATTCTGAAGGTGGAATTTGGTGTTCCAGGGTAAACTGTGGGGAGGGCAGTCTGGAGGGTCTCACTTGGTGTTTGGGGGATTCCTGGGAGGGAGGGGTTTCCAGAATACATTTGGGGGCTGCCAGAGGGTCCCAGGGTACGGGGGGGGGGGGGGGGGGGGGGGGTGTCATGTGGTGAATTTGAGGGGTCAGGATGTTCTTGAGTGGATTTGGAGTGTCCCATTTGGAGTGTCCCAGAGGTTGTTTGTGAGGATCCCAGTGTTGATTTGGGGGGTGCAGGGTGGATTTTGGGGGTCTAGGGGGCTGCAGTGTCCCACGAGATATTGGGAGGTGATGGGGATTTGTGGTTTCCAGAGTTGCCTTGGGGGGACCCTGGGTAGATTTGGGGAACCAGGGAAGCTAACAGGGGCTGGAGGGGGGTCCTGATGGATGTTGAGGGTCCCAATATGGATTTGAGGGACTCCTGAGGAGCTGTTGGAGGGTACCAAGGCATCCCTGGAGGACTGGGGAGATTCAAGGGCATCCTGGGGAACATTGGGAGTCCTGGGGTGGATTTGGAAGGGTCCCAGGGGCTGTTTGGGAGGGTTCCCAGAATGGATTTGGGGAGTCCCAGGGGAATTTGGGAGTCCCTGGGGGATATTGAGGGGTTCCAGGGTGGGGGGAGTGGGAAAGAAAGGCAGGTGTCACAACTCACCAGTCAGGGGTGGCAAATTCTTTGTTCAGCCTGATGAGAATTTACAAAGACCCCAGACACGTGTCAAGGGGTCAGCCTCATGAGGCACAGGCACCCAGAGATGCAGACAAAGCTCAATGCACATGATCCACGTGTAGGAACCTTACACGGAGCATTTCCTTGTCATTTCCCGGTTCACTAGCAGTGCTGGTCTGCAGAGAGACAGAGGGGCATTGATGGTGAAGTGCCTCACCTGTTTCAGGAGCACAATCTCTCTTCCTTCCTTGTATTGGCTGTAGAGAAACTGTCCTGGGAGTTCCAGCAATTCACCAGTTCAGCATCCCAGAGGAATGTCCTGCCCCCACCCATATGGACCAGACTCTCAGCTATCAGCAGGCATCCTTTCTCCCTCAAGGTAGGATGGAGAAGGTGTGAACCACTCAGACACCAGCAGCCCTCTCCTACCCCTGAACAGCTGGGCTGCTTGCCCCAGCACCTCTAAGAGCTGGGCCAGGAACCAGCAGTCCTCATCTGTGCCTGGAAAACCAGTTCATGTCCCAGAGCGCCAGGGAACCGGCCCTTCCCAGCCTAGATAGGCACACATCTGCCTCCACCTGAGCCCCACAGCTGCCCAACTCAACCAGATGTGCAGTGCAGGACCAGCCCAGAGCCCTTCAGTCCTCACAGAAACAGAACCCACTCCTGGATGGCTTCAGGAGGCAATCAGTGGTTTCAGAATAAAGGCAGAATGATAAACACAGACCAGGAGCAGAGTTATCTGGGTTTGCTGCTGGTTGCTGGGTGTCACTGCCCCTCCTATATTTACAAGTGTAGGGCAGTGGCTGAAGGAACACAACCCTTCCCCAGCTAAAACACTAAGGACCCCCACGGATCAGTTCAGTGCCCAGACCAGCTTACTCTCTTCACTCTGGATCCTCCTGGGGTGCCTGGTGTAACCACCCCACTAGCAGGGGTCCTCCTGCCCCCTCAACACCTTTTATTTCCCCTCCCACCAGTGCCAAACCCTGCCCTCCCCAGCTGGGTACAGAAGGGAACCGCTATGGTGTGTGTAGTTTAACTCGTTTTATTTAGACTCGAAGGTAACTGCGGCCCAGTGGGACCGTGACCCAGTAGAAACGCAGCAGTACATCAGGACTGGGGTGGGAGCGGGTGAACTGCAGCGGGCTGTGGCACCCAGGCTGCCCGAGGAGCCGTCAGTCGGTGAGAGAAGGGTTTACGAGAGCTGCCCGCAGTCGGTGATGGTGATCTTCTTGCTTGTTTTGCCATCTTTGGAGCCGCAGCGCTCCATGGCCTCCACCACATTCATCCCCTCCTTGACGCGGCCGAAGACGACGTGCTTGCCATCCAGCCTGCGGAGAAGCACCAGTCACAGCCGGTCCCACATCCCCCAACACAGGACATCTCCCAGATGCAGACCCCCCAGCTCCTCCTCCCACAGCCCACGACTCACCACTCGGTCTTGGCAGTGCAGATGAAGAACTGGGAACCGTTCGTGTTGGGGCCGGCATTGGCCATCGACAGGATACCAGGACCCGTGTGCTTCAGGATGAAGTTCTCATCTGGGAACTTCTCCCCATAGATGGATTTGCCTCCAGTGCCATTGTGGCGTGTGAAGTCACCACCCTGTGAAAAGGCAGTATTTCAGGGCATGGGTGCAGAAGAACACTCTGGAGCTGGGTGCAGGCAAATGGCAGAACCAACCTCTCACCCTGAGTCTGCCAGCATTCAACTCCAAAACCCACCTGGAAAGCCAGATTGCCTCACCTACCCACCCACCTACCCACTGCAGCAGGAGCACCACGCACCTGGCACATGAACCCAGGAATGATTCTGTGGAAGCAGGACCCCTTGTAGCCGAATCCCTTCTCACCAGTGCTCAGAGCACGGAAGTTTTCTGCAAAGGAAATAAAACCCCACCATGAACAGATTTGTTGAGTTCAGGAGTTGGTACAGTCGCAGTGGAGCCAAAGTTGTTTTACCAACCTGCTGTCTTCGGCACCTTGTCTGCAAAGAGCTGTAAAGACAGGAAAGGCATTTGTCAAATCTGGGCTGATAACTGGCCACTGCCCCCCACTCGCCGAGGCCAGTCCAGACCGCGGGAATCCCCCCAGACACTGCTCCGAGCCCAGGGACCCCCACCGGGTAGGGGCTTCTGGGCCGTGCCAGCAGCTCTAGATTCCTCCCCGTCTCACACGGTTATCTGCAAGCTCTGAACTAACAGATGCAGCATCGCTCATCTCAGGAGCGGGGCAGAGAAGCGTTCGTTCCGCTGGCCTGGATTAAATTAAACATTAATGTGCCCAAGCCTTCCTGGGCGGGGCGCGCGCGCCGCCTCCCAGCGCTTCGGGAGGATTTTGGGCTGGATGCGCCGCCCGTGCGGGAGCGCGGCTCCGAATCCGCAGCAGCCGCGGCGCCCGGAGCAGGCCCGGCCGTGCCAGGGATGCTCTGCGCCCCGGGCGGGGTGAGAAATGCTTCGCCCTCCAGCGACAATCCCGCGGTGATCGGGTTGCCGGCACTCCCCGCCGGCATCCCCAGACTCGGGCAGCACCGCCCGGGAGCTGGACACGGCTCATCCCGATGCTCCGGGGGCCTTGCGATAAAATGGCGGCGGAGCCGCCACGGCCGCGACCCGCAGTGGGGGGGGGGGAACTGCCGCGCCCCCCCGGCCCGGGGCGGAGCGGAGGCCGGCGGGAACGGGGAACCAGCGGCAGCGGACCAGGTGCGCACGGACTGCCTCGGGCGATGGCGCGCCCTGGGCTGGCACCGCGCCGCCGCTCCTGGAGCCGCCCGAGCGCGACGCTCGGGGCCCTTTGTTCGCCCCGCCGGGCCGGGGGCGCCGCAGCCCCGCAGCCACCAACGCGCCCCCGCCGCGCACGCGCGGCGCCTGCTGGCCCCTCACCGGCCCCGCGCCCCGCGCGCCCGGCGAGGAAACGGCAGTGGCACCCCCCGCCCCTCCCCGGCCGCCTCCCGCGCCCACCTCGAAGGTGACGCGACCCAGGGGCTCGTTATTAGCGGCGATGTCGAAGAAGACGACGGGGTTGGCCATGGTGACACACGAGCAGGACAGCAGACACTCGTCCGTACGGCGGGCGCGGCGCAGCAGAAGGAGCGCAGCGACCCGCCGCCCCTTATATAGGGTTGAGGAGGGCCCGCCTCCCTCGCAGCGCCGACCAACGGCCGCTGGCACAGTGGCGGAGTGGCAGGGCAGGCAACCAATCGACGGTACCGCGTTTGAAAGAGGGGGGAAGGGGGAAAAAAGCGCGGGCGGGGCGGGGGCCGCGGTCCGGCGCTGGGCAGGGCGCGGCGCGCATGCGCCGTGCGGAGAGCGAGGAGCGGTGGGATGGCGCAGGGGAGGCGGGCGCGGCGCTGGCCCGCCGTGAGGGGCGGCTCGGGGGATGCGGCGGCACCAGGGCCTCTGGGGCTTGGAGCTACCGGAGCTGCGGCCCACCCCTGGCCGCCCACCGCCCGACGTGCGGAGACACCCGATTGCCCTCCTCCGCCGTTGGACTGCAGCACCGCCCAGCCGGCCCCAGTTAATGATTGACGCCACAGGTCCGGTTCACCGCCCGGCCCGGCCGCCGCTGCTCGGCGATAGGGCAGGATTCCCTCGCTACTCGAGACACACCTCCCCCCTCTGCCCGGACAGAGGCCTGGATCCTCCCGCCACCCGAGGGCCTCCCCTGCGCGCTCAGAGAAGTGGCGGGGCCGCGGGATGACAAAAGATGGGGGACACGCGTGACCCTGCAGAAGGATCCTTTAATAGCCATCGAGGACATACAGGGCAGCTCGGCGCGGGGCAGGGGGAGCTGAGCTCCACGCCCCATGCCAGACCCGTGCGGTAAAAGGGGCAGCAGCATTTGCACATTGATAGGGGGGCACGGGCAGCCCCGCAGTGACGCACTTGCCTTTAAATATGGGGAGTCTCGGGGGAGCAGTAGTGTTTCTACACTATGTACAGCCTTGTGCTTCTGGGGGGGCTCAGCCCCTCTGTCCCATCGCAGCCCTTTGAGAAAGCCCCCACTGTGGGGGGTCCCAGCTCTGCAGCGGGCAGGGGCACACAGTGCTGCCCCCCAGCCCCGGGAGGGGGGCAAGGATGGCTCAGTTATTCTCGAAGAGAGACAGGAGGTCATCGTTGCTGCTGCTGGGGAGGTCGGGGGGCCCCAGGTAGGAGAGCAGCTCATCAGGATTCGTCAGCTCGGGCAGGAGCTGGGGGCGGCAGTGTGTGATGACCGGCTCCCCGCAGCTTCTGCCCACCCCCCTGCAGCAGCTGGGGTCCCGAGCCAGCGGCAGGACCCTTGTCCACCCCCCCGAGTACTCACGTCGAGGGCAGCCTCGGAGCCATCGCCCGCCGCGGCCATGCTGGATGCGGGGGGGAAGACGAGGTCGGCGGTGTGGGCCGGGGCTCCCAGGGGCGGCCGTACCCCTGCACCCCGGGAGTGCAGCGTGGAGCTGGGCTGGCTGCCCGAGGGAGCGCTGTGCAACCCTGTCTGCACGGCGGGGTGGGACGGCTCCATTCGTCCCACTGGGGGAAGCTGGGGAGTGCGGGGAAAGAGTACAGCCATGAGACACTCCCTCCCCCGGGACCCCCAGCCCATCCAGAGTGAGACATGAGGGCTTGGGGGGAGTCCCTCCACCTATAGGCCAGCTGACCTGTGCAGACAGAGGGGGCACAGGAGGCTTCTCAGGGGCCAGAAGGCTGCCTGGGATGTTGGGCTGGTAGGAGATGGAGGAGGGGCCTGGTGTGAAGTCACTCAGCGTTGAGGGGCCAGGGACACCAGGGGCAGCAAAAGGCTCTGGGAAGCCCCCAGGACCCAGAAAGCTGGAACCTGTGAGAGGAAATGGGGCAATTGGGGGACACACACACAGGGATGGGGTTCATTCCTGTCCCCCATGGGTCCCCCCCGTACCCGGGGTGCCGTAGTCGGTGGCAGCCCCCACTGGAGGTTGTGACAATGCTGGGAAGGGCACAGAGCCAGGCCCCAGGGCCGCAATCATCTCCATGATGTTGGGCAGCACCATGTGTGCAGGACTGAGTGTCCGGCACCGCTTCAGCGCTGGCCCCTCCGGCTCCTCCTTGATGTGAACATCAGGTTTGATAGGGACAGGTTTCCAGCTGCAGGTCGGGTCGATGGTGATCTCCTCATGCTCTGAACTGGGGACAGCAGGAGCACAGGGGAGGTGAGGCTGGGGGCACTGGCTGCACAGCCCCCCAGGGGTGGCACAGGACCAGGCATGGATGGACAGACGGCCAAAGGGAAGGCACTTACTTCTGGATGTAGATCAGGATGCCCAGCATGTACTGGTCAACCTCCAGCCCCTCCAGCAGGGCCGTCTTACTGCAGGCAGAGAGTGAGGTATGGGAACCCCCACCAGACAGGAACTTCCCCCTAAGGCAAGAACTGTTCCTCTCCCAGGGCAGGAAATAGATTCCCCACAGGTAGTGAAGCACACACCCATGCCCTGCAGGCAGGGACAACAGGGCATGGCCCCATTGCAGACCTCACTCACTTGCAGACAGGACACCGCCATGTACCCCTCTCGCAGTTGAGCTGCAGGTATGACTCCAGGTCAAAGCACTGTGGGGAGAGCAGCAGTTGAGATGGAAGAGGCAGGATACTGGATACAGCACCCTGTCATCACCACGCCCTACCTGTATGTGCCGGCAGTCATGACCCCTGGCTGGAAGCTGGATCCTCCGGAAGGTGATAGGGCACTTGAGGGACACCTTGATGGCCGTCTGCTCCACGCCATCCTCACCATTGGGCCCTGGTGTCCCCGGGATGGTCCCACTGCTGAAGTTGCGCTTGACTGGGAACGTGAGGGTGAGAGGCACCAAGGGTCAGAACCAGGACCCTGGGACGGGTGTGGCACCGTGGTGGCACCTGGGCAACACTGCAGCATCACCCCCATCCTGCTGTGGCCTCCCTGCCACAGTGCATCCTGCTAAGCCCCAGGTGCTCACTTTTGGTGATGCAGTGCTCAGCGGGGAGCAGGCGCTTCTTGATGAGCCCCTGCAGCACTGAGCGCACCGAGGGCCGGTGCACCAGCTGCAGGACGAACAGGTGGGACTGTGGAGAGACAGGAGGCTGAGCTGCGGCCCCAGCCACCACCCTCCCTCTCCTGGTACCCTCCTGGTGACTCACACAGCAGCAGGCGGTGACAGTGATCTGGATAGTGTTTCTGCCAGGCTGGCAGACGTGCTTCAGGTAGAGTGGCTTGTGGGAGGTCTTGTTGTCACCACGCTCGATGGTGAGCGGCGTGGCGTTGACGCTCACCTGCACGGAGGCCGGCCAGTTGGTGTTCATCTGCCGGTCCTCGTGGTGGTAGCACTTGAACTGCAGCTCCAGGTCAGGCCTGGGGACAGGCAGGGTGTGGGCAGGGGGTGTGTCCACACGTGTCACCACACCATGCTGCTCCCTGCTCCGAGCCACGCAGAACCATGCAGTGCTAAGCCATTCCATGTTACACTGAGTCATATGGCACTGTGACAAACCCCAACAGCAGCACAGCACTGTGCCAGGCCACACGACATCCCACCATGCTGTGCCATGCCAAGCCATGCCCCAAAGCACCAGGCTGTGCCACAACGTGCCAAACACCATGACACCACGCTGAACCACGGCAGTACAGCTGTGCCAAGCCACACTTCACACCGTGATGCAGGACAGCGCTGTGCCCAGCCATACCAGGCCACACATCCCCATGCCACACGGCACACGCAGTGCCCAGCTGTGCTGCCAGCATAGCCCCACTCCACAGCACACGGTGCCATAGAGCACCCCCCGAGCAGCACTGTGTGACACTCCAGAAGGTGCCCCCCAGCATCCCCACCTCATCATGAGGGTCTTGTAGACAGAGTCACGGAGCTGGAAGACGTGGTTGCTGACAGCCAGGTTGTGCTGCAGGCGGAAGGGCTCCAACACCACGCCGTCCCGCACCGGGAAGGTTAGCCGCAACTCCTCGCCGGGGGCCGGCCCTGCGGGACGCCGCCATCAGGGAAAGAACACCTTCCCCGGGCGCCAGCCACACCCTGGCCACGCCCCAGCCTCGCTCCGCCCACCGCACGAGGACCCACCTTGCAGGGAGCCCAACCTACGCGACCCTGCCCACCCCGGACACCGCGCCCCGGGCAATGCAGGAAGCCCCTCCCAGCCAAAGTGGCCCCACCCCCGGTGACCACCCCCCTCCCACCCCTCTGGAGGAAGCCCACCCCACCGCAGATTCCTCCCGCTCGCTCCAAGAAACCGCACCCTAGCCAAGCCCCACCCTAAAAGCAGAAGTCCCCACCAAAACAGCAGGCCTATAAAGCCCCGCCCACTGAGGCCACACCCTTTTAACAAGCCCCTCCCACTAGTCACCGGCAGCCCACCCCTGCCTCAATCAGCCCCCAAACCCTGGCAGTGGGCACGCCTCTTCTCTGAATTCCCTCCCACCCTCCATTTAAAGGGGCAAAGGCCAGGGAGCTGTCAGGAGCGCGGTCTGCACCGTACACACGGGGGTGATCTCTGTGAAAGTCCCCCTCACCCGCACCAGGGACACCCACCTGAAGGGGATGGGTGCAGGGGGGCAACGCTGGGCTTCATGTCTGCCAGGAAGGGCGACTTGACATCCTGCCCAGGGGACGCATAGGTGGGGATGCCACTGCCTGGTGTCATGGGCGGCGTGGGGTTCCCGGCCAGCGGCGAGCTGGGGTAGCCCGGCAGTGACCGGCCCGGCTGTAGAGGCAGCACGTGCCCTCAGCGTCCAGCCAGGCCAGCAGAGCCCCCACACCGCCCACTGCCACACTCACCCCATTGATGGCTGCTTGGCTGTAGGTGCTGAAGCTGGTGCTCTGCCCATTGAACTGGTCAGCTGGCTATGGGAGGAGGAGGGTCTCCAGGGGCTGGCACCGGGGCATGGTGGACACCCAGACCTCCACCCCTTGCCCACGTTCCCCTGTGGTACCTTGTAATAGGGTCCAGCACTGCCTGAAGCGGAGAGGTACTGGCCCACGCTCTGCTGCAGCCTGTGGCCAGGGTATGAGGGGGACGGAGCGGAGGACTGGGGGGCGCTGGGGGCATACTGGGCACCAGCTGCAGCGTACTGCCCGCCCTGGAGGTACTGCTGCGGTGGGTACCCCTGTGGGGCCAGGGAGTCAGCACCAGTGGGAAAGGGGCTCACCACATGCCATAGCCCTCACCAACGCGGCACTCACCTCGTTGGAGTACGCCCGCTTGAGGCCCTGGCGGGGCAGCTGCTGGCTCTGGGGAGGTCCAGGGTAGGTGTGCTGAGGCACTCGCTGCCCACCATAGAGGGGGCCAGTCCCGGGCGCCCGCACTGGGCTCATGCTCACAGGGGAGACACCAGAAGGGGCCACAACACCTGCCATGCCAGCTGGGCTCATGCTGTTGGGGCCACGGGGTCCAGCATGGGGCAGGAACTGGCTGCTGAAAGACTGCCCTGTGCCCATCTGCAGCAACAAAGAGAGAAGGGTCACAGCAGGCCAGGGGGGCTGTCAGCTCCCCAGTTCTGCCACATCCAGGTTCTTACCGCACCGTACTGGCTCAGCTCCTGGCTCTGTTTCTCCTGCAGTGCCGCCACCGTCGCCGTGGCTGTGGCCGTGGCTGTGGCAGCAGCAGCAGCCACAGCAGCAGCTGCTGCTGCCTGGGTGAAATCAGCAGTGGCCCGGCTGGCGTGCGAGGGGAGCCCCATCCCTCCAGGGCCACTCGGGCCACCATTGTAGCTGGAGAACAGAGAAGCAGGAAGGGGAATGCAGTGGCCCTCCCTGCAGCAGGGCACATGCCAGGCCACAAAGCACAGGGCTGTCCTTACCTGGCAGCGAAGCCTGGCCCACTGGGGTAGGTGTTGCGCCCATAGACACTGGGCTGCACATAGCCCTTCCCTGGTGCCCCCTCAGCAAAGGGCTGCTGTGGCAGGAATGGTGGGGAGCTCATGCCTGAGCTGGTGCCTGCCATGCCAGGCAGCAGTGGGGTGCTGGAGCTGCTTCCCCCAGGGCCCATGGGGCTGCCAAAAACCTGGAGGGCGCAATGGGAGGCAGTGGGTCAGGCAGGGGCAGTAGCATCCAGGTGCGGGGGATGCCTGGGGTGGGGGTGCTGCTGGTACCTGGCTCTGGGAGGGGTTGCTGACACCCCAGACAGTGGTTACCACGGAGAGGGATCCCGGCGGCTGATTGGTGCTTGGTTGCCAAGGAACAGCCTCGTATGCAAATGAACCATCACTAGAAAGAAAAACAAATTAATGAAGATGAAGGACAGAGGGATGGAGGGACAGAGGGATGGAGGGATTGAAGAAACAGATAGATGAAGAATGGAAAGGATGGAGGGACAGACAAGGGGATGGATGCATGGATGGAAGGATGGATGGAGGGATGGAGGGAGGGATGGAGGGAGGGATGGAGGGAGGGATGGAGGGAGGGATGGATGCATGGATGGATGGATGGATGGATGGATGGATGGATGGATGGATGGAGGGACGCTGCCCCGGCGCCCACCCGTGGGGCGCAGGCGGCAGCGAGGGTTTCATGGGGTTCATGGAGCTCATCAGCGGGTGTGGGCTGGGTCTTCCGAGGCCGCGGCGGGCACTGCGGGACGGCGGCACCGTCTGTCACTGGGGCTGCGGGAAGCAGTGGAGCGGCGGGTGAGGGGCGGCCGCCCCCGGAGAGGCCGGGGCGGGGGGGGGGGGACAGCCCGTAGGCTTCGCGACCCCCCAGCCTCCGCGGCCGGGGCTCGGCGTCCGGCCCGCGGCTGGCACGGGGCTCCGGCCGGCACGCGCCGCCCCCGCTCCGGGCCGCCCCCCCCGCTCCGCGCCGGCCACCGCGGCGTCAGAGCTCCCCGGGGCGGCGGGCGTCGGGGGCTTCCCCCGCGCCTGCGGGCGGGGGGAACTACGGGGACTTCCCGGGGAAGGGACACGGCCCCCGGCCCGGCACTGCGCCCCGCTGCCTGGGGTATTTCCAGCCGGGCCCGGCAGCGGGGGGGCCGCGGGGTCACCGCCGCTTTCGGTTCCTCCCGGCGCCGCGGGAGGGCGGCGGAGACGGGGTCGCCGCGAGGAAAGACACGGAGAGGGGAACACCCGCAGCGGGCCTGCCCCGGCTCCCGGGAGCCGCCACCGCGGAACCACCGGCCCCCGGCGCCCCTCGCCGGCGGTGACAGCCCCCTCCGCTCCTTCCCCGGCGGCACCGCAGGGACAGGCCCCGGGGCCGGGCCCCCCCCACTGCCATGGCAACCACCCCCACCACCCCCGGCACGGCGGGGGGGGCCCGCGGGGGCACCGCCAGCCCCGCCCGCCTTCCGCCCCGTCCCCCCGCCCGGCGCTCCCGCTCTCACCGCGGCGGCGGCCCAAGATGGCCCTGGCGGCGCGGGGCGCGCGCGGCTGCGCGGAGGCTGCGCGGGATCTTCAGCCGCGCGCGGCCGCAGCTCCGCGGGGGGCGGGGCCGGGGGCGGGGTCGGCCCGCCGCCGCGCACAATGGGGCCGCGCGCTCATCAGTATGCAGGCCCCGCCCCCGCCCGGCCAGGCGCGGGTAGCCGAGCGCCGAAGGGTCCGGGCCGCGGGGGTGAGCCGTGCGAGGGCCGCGGGGGAGCGCGCGGCCCCGTGCGCGTGAGGAGCGTGACCGCAGCGGCGGCACCGCCAGACGTGCGGGCATGTGGCACCTGGCACTCGTGTGCGCGCGAGGACACCGTGTGTGACCCGGTGTGTGACAGCGCAGCCACGGGGATGCGGCGGGGCGTGGCACGCGTACCCCTCAACCTCACCCCTGCGCTGAAAGACCTGCAGACCCAAAAAGCGGCGGTGGGTTCTGGGGACACCGACAGCGAGTGCCAGCTGGGGCTGCCCTATCGCCCCCATCCCCCAAGGGCTTCTGTGGGAGGACGCGGTGGGCTCGGGAGGTGCCAACAATGAGCCCCGGTCCGGAGATCACCTCTCTCGACTCCATTCAGGATCTCCAATGAGAGGACACGGCACCCAGCACCAGCCCTGTCTGTCCCTGTGGGAGCTCAGAGCTGGGGGATGAGAGGGGAAGAACATGCTCTCCGAGGACAGGCAAAGCTGAGACATGGGCACAGCACTCTCACACCTGCCTGGGCCCCTCAGGACATGCCCCATGTCCTTCCTCCAAGAGGCAGTGGCTGCACACGGGCAAGTCGAAGACTGAGAGGAACTGGGAAGAGCCTGACTCACTGCACTGGACAGTAGAAGAGCTGTGGGGACCAGCCCCTCTTGGGGGGGTACAGGAGACCCCCAGAGAAGAGCCCCAGGGAGCAGACATTCCAGGGCTCTGGGGGGCCATGGGTCTTACCCACCATGGCAGCAGGCAGCCCCCAGACCCTCATGCTCCCAGGGTGGCTGCACCAGAGCCACCCTGGCACGAGGCAGACAAGGACTCGAGGCACCAGTGTGGGGTTGACAAGATCTGTAGTTGAGGGGGGGAGGCGAGCAAAGGACAGAAAGACGGACAGACAGACGTAGGAGCATGCTGCGCCGCGCCGGCGCTCAGGCCAGGTCCTTGAAGGCATCGAGGTTGAAGGCCGTGTCGAGGAGCCGCTGCAGCTCTGTCAGGTGGGTTTTCTTATTGCCAGTGGCAGGGGCAGCTGCTGGCTCCCGCCCTGCATACCTGCCAGGGAGAAGGTGGGCCGTGAAGGAGAAGGGTCTGTACCGACCAGCTCCCTCCCAGCCTCTCAGCCAGCCCCTGCATCCTTACCAGACAGGCTTTGCACGGTTGATGGTGGTGCGAAGGCGGGGTTTGACATAGTCATAGTAACCCTGGTTCTTGTGCTCCTCCTGGCACCACACCAGCTCAGCAGCTGGGTATTTCTGGGCTTCCCGCTGGAGGAGGTCAAAGGGGAACGGGGAGAGCTGCGGGGGACAGAGAGTGGTGTCACAGGAGACGTGGGGCAGCGTCTCAGGGGCTGCAGAACCCCCAGCCTGCAGGCACCGTGCTGGCAGGACCCTGCTCACCTGCTCCACCCTGGTGATGGCCACATCGGCCTCCATCTGCCGGGCCTTGCGCTCGCGGGTCAGGTCATAGTACACCTTGCCGGTGCAGAACAGCACCCGCTTCACCTGCTCAGGGTTCTGGGCTGCAGGGCCACTGTCGGGGATGACACGGAGGAAGTGGGTGCCTGCCAAGAAAGACAACAGCACCCTGAGCCACAGCACTGTGCCAGCAGCCACTGCACCCACATCCCATGCCAGCCCCTGCCAGGACCCTGAGAGGCAGAGTCAGTTCACCCAGGAACAGGAACAACTCCCACCACAAACCATCACGTGCCACTTGGGACTGTCAAATTCCTTCCCGTGGAGGAAGCACCATGGAGCCAAGTCTCCCGAGGGTAGGAGGCTCAGCCCTAATGAGGCTCTGGTGTGCCGAGGAAAAGGCCATGGCCTCACGCAGCCAGCCTCCAGTATGGGGTGGCTGCAGCCAGGCAGGCTTTATCCAAGGCCACAGACTCCTGCCCTTCACCCTGCGGAGCAGCATGGAGGCACACAGGCAGCTCTGTGCTTCTTGTACCTGGCAGCATGTCATCAAAGCTGGAGCGGGCTTCGGGGTGGCGCAGCAGCGACTTTGGAGTGAAGATTATCAGCTGGAGTGGAGAAGAAGAGGCAGAGCAAGGCGGTCAGCCCTGCCAGAAACACCTCCTCTGTCTGCCCTCCCCTGCCTATCCTGCCTGAGCAAGGGAGCAGCTGCCAGAGGTTTGCTTCTCACTCAGCTGCAGTGCTCTGCCAGATTGGGCATCCATTCCCGACAGCACCAACCCATCCCAGTCGGGATGTCCCATGGGGAAGAGGCAGAGGGGCTACCAGGGATCTGCCTGTCCCATGGCTGGAGCTGACTGGAACTGGCTGAGGTAGGTTATGTAGCAGTGTCTGTTGGCTCCAACAGCCCTGACCTCCCCGTGGAGTTTGGGAAGGGGACACAGCCCTTGCAGCCCACACGAGACAGCAGCTGCACATCAAGTGCCAAGCCAGTCCTGAGCACCATGAGCACCTTGGCCAGGCAGCAGCCAGCTGCCCATGTCCGAGGTGCAGGAAGAAGCTGCCCCCACCCCAATCCCAGTCCAGGGAAACACCCAGCAGGAACACAGCACCCTGCCTGGGCACCAAGCTGGGCACGGAGCTGCTGGCACTGACCGGTTTGCGGAAGGGCAGGAGGATCTGGCGCCGCAGGACGTGGAAGAAGTTGGCTGGAGTGGAGCAGTTCACGACGATCCAGTTGCACTCATAGAGCTGACGCACATCAAAGTCATCCAGCTTCTGCCTTGGCCAGCACGGGTGAGGGGATTTCAGGAAACACAAGGTACCTCTTGGCCTTGTCGCTCCAGCAGCAGGCAGAAGAGTAGTCCCCAGCCCTCCCTCCTTATCTCCCTCCCTCCCTTCCCTCACTCTCCAGAGCACAGAGACCCACAGAGATCTAGGAAAGGCTCCAGGGCTGTGTCCTCCACCTTAGTCTGGCCATGGGGGTGGCCAGCAAGCCCCTCTCATTCCACTTTCAGGGCCACCTCTCCCTTGGACTATGCCATGGCCCCAGGTTCCATGGAGGTGCAGCCTAGGCACCAGGTTCAGGCCCTTTCCCCAAACCCTCCAGCCAGCATGAGACCAAGGCATCCCATGCCTCCAGCCATCGGCTCCCACTGTGCTAAGCCCACACAGGTGTTGCTGCCCTCCACCGAGCCCAGTCCAGGGCACAGGAGGGCCAGGCTGAGCACCACACCACCATGGGGGACACCACTCACAGGGAACACATCGGGATCATCGTTGCACATCTGCAGGAATCGCTCTGGGCGGGCTGAGGAGTGCTCGGGACCCTACGGGGACCAAGAAGGGGGATGGTCATTGCAGGCCAAGGCAAGCATGAGAACTCCAAGTCAGGCACTGCCACATCATGAGCAGTGCCACTGCTGTGCAGGGTTCCACCTCAGGGTGAGCCAGGGGAGTCCTTACCATGCCCTCCATGCCGTGGGGGAGCAGCAGGACAATGCCATTCTGCCTGACCCACTTGGCCTGCCCGGGACAGATGAACTGGTCGATGATGCATTGAGCAGTGTTGTGGAAATCCCCAAACTGGGCTTCCCAAAGCACCAGGGCATTGGGACTGGCCATGGCAAAGCCCAGCTCAAATCCTGAGGAATGGAAGAGCAGTGAGAGGGTTGGGTTACCATTCCAGAGCGGCCTCACCCTGGGCAGTGAGCACAGACCTACTCACTCACCCAAGACACCGTACTCTGACAGGGAGCTGTTGCAGACAGTGTAGGGAGCCTGGTTGGGCCAGAGGTGGTTCATGGGGATACAGGTCCTCTTGTCCACATTCTGATCGTGCAGGACATGGTGGCGATGGCTGGAAAAGGGAGAAGAGTAACTTCATCATCAGCCTTTGGATCCCTCCCAGAAGGGCTGGAATTGCCTTTACAGCCTCCAAAAGCAGGGCTTTACCTAAATGTCCCCCTCTCAACGTCCTGGCCACTCAGGCGGATGTGGATGCCCTCTTTGAGCAGGGAGCCAAATGCCATGTACTCTGCCAGGGCCCAGTCCACGGTCCGGTTCTTCACCATCTCCCCACGGGTCTTCAGAATACGGCTCAGACCTGCCAGGACAGAGCCGGTTCACAGCCAGTACAGGACAGAGCTCCTTAAAGATCATCCAGCACAACCCCTGCCATAGGGATTTCTTGCACTACAAGGGGCACCTTCCAGTACACCAAGTTGCTCCAAGCCTTGTCCAACCAGGCCTTGGAACACTTCCAAGGCAGCCACAACTTCCCTGGGAAACCTGTGCCAGGGCCTCACCACACTCACAGGGAAGAATTCCTTCCCAATATCCCATCTAACACTGCCCTCTGGCAGTGGGAGACCTTCCCCCTTGTCTTGTCACTCCATACCCTGGTGCAAAGTGCCTCTCCATCTTTCTGCAAGCTCCTTTAGGCACTGGAAGGGTCTCTAAGGTCTCCCTGGAGCCTTCTTTCCTCCATGCTAGACATACTCAGCTCTCTCGGAGCTCCTGCACAGGGGCTTCAGCACTGGTATCATTTTCAAGACCTCCTCTGGATCTGCTCTAACAGATTTTTGTTCTAACAGATTTTCCAGGTTTTGTTCTGGGGCCCCCAAAGCTCCAGGCAGGGTCTCAAGAATGCAGCACTCAGGGGGAGGATCCCCACCCTTGACCTGCTGCTCACCCATATTGAAGAAGTCCAGTATGTCCCTTCCTTTCAGGCCACATCCCAGCCCTATCTCACATCTCTCTGGAACAAATGCCCAGTCTTGCACAGCTTTCACAAGCTCCTACCTCCATGGATAGTGAAATCCTCCACTGGCACCGAGCTGGCCACTTGGCCAATGTGTGTCAGGTCCTCTTCATTGAGGCCAGTGGAAGGGCAGGTCATGCTCCGGGGCTGCCCATCCAAAGTGAAGAAACCTGTCAGAGAAGGAGAAACACCATCAAGCATGCCAGATCTGTGGGAAGACCCCAGGACACGGACACCCTCAAGCAAAAGTAGGGACACCAGGAACGGGAAGAGCACCTCTAACCTCCCCTGTGGGGTGGCTTACTAGAAAATCTCTGCCATGGATCTAGAGAGGCCGGGTGCCTTGCTCTGGCCTTCAAATCACCGCTACTGCCTTACCTGGCCAAGGTGAGTCCAGCCAGTGCTTGATGTGCAAGATCTTCTCATCCTTGGATCTGGCATGGGCCTCCTCACAAATCTTATCGTACTTGGCAATTTCCTCCTGAAAGGCAGAAACAAGAGGCAGGAAAACATTAATGGGGGATCTCCAAATGAGGGTGTTGAGCCTGAGGACCTTGGTAAGCTTGCAAGGGTGCTGGAGGGCAGAGGTTGTCCCCACCACAGAAGTCCCAAAGCTGTGCAGTCAGCCTCAGAGAGCACAGCCACAGCCCTGTACCCCAAGGCATAGCTCTGCTACGCTCAGAGCTGTCCAACCCTACTGATGCTGAAAGCAGGGCTGGCAGAACCTCTGCGTCGTGAGCTGCCCAAGCAGCAGAACCAGGACAGGATCTGCCCCAGATACCCGTGGCCACAGCAATCCTGAGCACTGAGACCTGCCTGTGCTGCAGTGGCCCAGAGCTGCATCACCTGTTCCACACTGCTCACAGGGTGATCCTTGAACTAGATGTTCCTGCACTTTTCAGAGCTGGCACGGTTCAAAGATGAGCCTTGGCTCTGAACTCCACTGCTGCCAGGTCTGCAGCGCACACCCAACCCCAGCACAGCTCTGCCACCTTTAGGTTACAAGCACAAGAACGTGGTTCTTGTAGGCCCACGTGGGCCTTCACACCCAGGTCTGAACCACGTAAGTAGT